GCGCGTCTTGCGGCGGTTGGTGGGTTGATGTCATCAAGATATCAACCAATGAACAGACTCTTTGGTCGACCCTTCAATATCACCACTTTGGTGATATTGTTTAAAGAATATCCATCTTTATATTCTTTATTGTCACTTTCCTTAAAGTGACAATTCCATGTAACGGGCTGCCCCGTTACAGTTGAAGCTGCATTGTTTGTGATCGTATTTGATAGTCGAGCCGAAATAAAAAGCGTGACTCCGTCGTCCTCGTGCAGATGTGGTGCTGTTCTTGATTCTGGACCCGATGACGAACACTGCTTTTGCGACTACGTTCTGAAGTTCACGACAAAGAACAAACGCTGGTGGATGGTCTACCTGGGAGGTGCCATGATGAACTTCAAGCAAAGTGGAAGACGACCGGCGCTGAGTGAGCCATTTCTTGGCGTATGTGTGACCTTTATCTCGACATCTGCAGTCGTGGAGGGCTTCCATTGCTCCTGTTCGAGTACACGGCTGTACCGCACCAGCACGGTTTGAGCAACGCGAGGAGTCCTACAAGTTCGAGTAGTCCACGAGGTGCTTGTCATGTTGGTGGGATAAACTGCAGCTCTGGTTTCGTTTCCGAGCGTAGTGCCCAAAGCCGCATTTGAAGCGGCAGTCTGGCTGCAAGTCCATAGAAAACGCACGATGTGGTTGTTACGTCCACGGAAGCTTGTGGGATGACCTACAACGAAAGGCAAAGCAGATCTCGCCTGATGCAAGCTTATGCTGGACGAACGAACGGGGTCCATGTAGATAACACATCACCTTTGTTGTCCGACTGCCTGAATCGAAATCAGGATCATGGAGAGAGTATACCTAGCGCGACAGCATTGGTGACTCAATGTTGCTGTCCTGGTGTCATAGCCGTCCACGCATTTGCGGCTCGTGGGCCAACGCTTGAGCATGTCGTTACGTGTGCTGTTTGTTGGGAAGGAGCCGCGTCCAAACGCGATACGTGCGCTGACCTGGCGAGTGCTTGTACCTGCCCTTCAGACTCGTGTCACGTGGTGGCACGTTGGATGTTCACAGTGTGAACACTGCTATCAGTGACGTCACTGGACGTGCGCAAACGCTACAAAAGTGTCAACGAGGTTGCAAGCACCATTTGACCTATCTGCCCCGATTGATCTTACTACAACACAGGTCTGTTTCACGAATGGCATGTACTGTTATTGGTTATCTGCAGGCGGCTGCAACTGGCGGATAGAGTCACGAAGGACCGGTGCTCGTGTCTGCTTGCCCGTTTCCTTTACGGTTCTGAGGAGATTCATAATATAGACGATAATCATTCAGAAGCGCATCCTCGCGCTGTTTCTCGTACCTCTCGCCTAACAATCCACGTCTTCCAATACCTTCAGCTCTTTCCTTTCTTGCCTTCTCGATCTTGTTGTCTAGCATAGCAGGAGTAGTACCTTCGTTCGCCAAATGTTCAAATAGCTTTAACCTCAAATGCTTGAATGCATCTTTCCACCTATACTTCAGCAAATACACCAGTGATGCAGCGCCGAGATCATCAAACATCCGCGCCAGCTGCTCGACGATGAGTGAATGTATATCTTCATCGTTTGTTTTGGCGAGTTTAGCGATGAACTCGACAAAATTGTTCCTGTTTTCGGCGTCCAAGACTCTCGTCGTTTGTGAAATCATCCCATACTCGACAACAGCGTCTTCAACCTTCTGCGAAATTCGCATGGACTTCACAAATATCATGTTATTGCCTTGATTCAGGATCGACAGTATCGATTCGAGTTCGGCATCGTCCCTAATGCATCTTGACATCACTTTTCGCAATGTCAGTTCTTCGCTGCCATGGAGCGTGTTGTATTCCTTCATGTACTTGTCCAGACTGCCAAGGTCCAGGGATGCAATAGGGCTTTCCTCGCGACCGTTCACCTGCTTAGCTGCATCGGCCTTGGCTTTCTGGTACATGATGTCGAAATACGCACTGGGATCCATCTGATGTCGCAGTATCGCGTCTGCTCCCAATTCCGCCTTATGTGCAAGAAAAGACTGGGTAGCCTCTGCTGTCAATTCCGCCTGGTCTGCAAGAAAAGACAGGTAAGCTATTGCTGTCATTTCCGCCTGGTATGTAAGAAAATATTGGCGAGCCTGAGCTGTCATTTCCGCCTCGTGTGTAAGAAAATATTGGTAGGCCTCTGTTGCCATTTTCACCTGGTTTGTACGAAAATGTTTGTGAGCCTCTGCTGTCATTTTCTCCAGATGTGCACGAAAAAAATGGTGAGCCTCTACTCCCCTTTCCAACTGGTGTGCGAGAATATCCAGGTGAGCCTCTGCTGTCATTTCCACCTGGCGTGCAAGAAAATATCGGTGAGCATTCGCTGTCATTTCCGCCTGACTATCAAGAAAATTGAGTGCCATCAGTCCCATTTCTGCCTGGTGTGCAACAAAATATCGGTGAGCCTCTGCTGCCATCTTCAGCTGGTATGCAAGAGAGGACTGGTGAACCTCCACTCCCATTTCCGCCCGGTGAGCAAGAAGACTTTGGTACGCCTTTGCTCCCATATCCGCCTCATGTGAAAGAAAACTTTGGCGAGCCTCTGCGATCAGTCTGGGTCCTTTTTCGAGTTCGTTTTGCAGCCAGCGATCAACAATTTGAGCGTGTTCCGGCAGCTGCTCTGTTGTCTTGTCTGCCGCTTCTAGACGATAGAGGTGTCTGAGAGCAATTTCATCGAAAGCTTGCCACCCGTGCTCAGGAAGGTGTTCGACCGCGAGCTCCTTCGGATATTGCGCATGCAACTTTTCCACGAGACGAGCAACTGCGCTGTTAATTGATGATGGAATCCATGGCTCTGGCATCCTTTCTTCAACCGCCGTGGTCTCGTGTGGAACCAGCCCCTGCTCAACAGGGACGTCATCGCAGCACGCGTCAGAGGAACGAAGACGTGCCGAGGGAGCACCTTCCGTCGTCGTCGAGTTGGACGCCTTCGCAGGGTTCGCGCTGTGTGCTAGAACCGCAGTGAACACGACGAGCGTGAACGTGTGGAGGCGCATCGTCGGTGATGCCGTTGTCCGTCTCGAGCAAGGGAGGGAGCAAATGTTAAAGTGCCAACAAGTCCGAGTCGCACGTCGCTTTCTTGAGAAAAAGAGCGCCCAGAATGGAAGGTGGTGAGCCTCTTACATGACATTATTATAATTGTGACAATATGACAACCGATAATATTGAGCCTAATATCGTCACTAAAATATCACTTAGCTCAGTGATATTGTTGCAGGGACCCAAGAATCTACTCATTGAATGATATTCCATTTTATCAACCCACCAATCACTGCGAGACGCGCGCAATGGGTGGTGAGTAGACGTCACTATACATCTTTGGTATTATCAGTAGGGCTCCTACCCGGACCGGAACCTCCAAAGGTTTTCCCCCTGGGGGGGGACCGAGGGGTGGGTTTGGGGGGTGGGTACGTCAACCCCCTGGGGGGTCGCTGGGGGTTTACATATGTTTTGTAGATATATATCGGTATATATTGCATAGAATTTGCAACAGATCCTATACTGTAACGGGGCACTGTTGACTCGTACTGGTTGACCAGTACGGAGTATACTTTCACTGACGACAGTGGTTGACAGTGCCCTGCTAGGTGTTGAAGAAACATAGAGGAAGGAAAGGAGACTAAGTAGTCAGACTAGTCTCTGGTAAAAGTAAAACTGTATTAATATAATCAAGTCCTATAACTCCTTGAATCTTCTGTTGTCCTGGCTTAATTATACCAATATAACTAAGTGTATGATGACGTCTACTCACCACCCATTGCGCGCGTCTAGCAGCGATTGGTAGGTTGATATCATCACGATATCAACCAATGAGTAGACCCTTCGGTCATCCCAACAATATCACCATGTCTGTGATATTATTAAAAGAATATTCGACGTAATATTCTTTATTGTCATATTGCTTCAATGACAATTTCATGTAACGTGTTACCCCGTTTCATCACCCCTCCCTTATCTGATAGTCACCGTCTGACTATCGGAAACTTGGTGGCCACCCGTTGGAAACCAGTGGGACAGGGAGCACTTGTTTGGTCAGACCCATTCACTCCTGACCCTGCCTCGCATAGTTAACATGTCTATGCGAGGTGATTCGAAGACCACACAGCCTGCTTCTGTGCCAGACTCTGCGGCAGACGCTTCTTCGTCTGCTGCTTGTTCTCCGTCTACAGCAGAAGGTGCTGCAGACGCACGCGGTATCGCACCACGTGCACAGGATGACCTTGTCAATGAGGTCATCAATTCTGGCGAGTCAGACGTGCCTGACTTGCGCAACGTTTCAGAGCCATCCCGATCACCGGCGGTGCCTCAACGCTCGTCAAGAACACTGTCGAACGAGCGGACTCGTGAAATGCAACACAGTCTATTCGGCAGTGATGATGAACTCTATGGTGAGGAATACTATGCCTCACCAGTATCAACTCGTGCTTCATCTCAAGAGCGTGATGACGATGGCGAGAGCCGTCGTCATTCTGAAAGCCGCGGTACCGAAACAGGTACCACTTTGAAGCGTGATGAGCTGAAGCCGTGGCATTTGCCCGAACGGCTAATCAATAGCCTGTCTCACGCGACAAGCCAGCATCATCGAATACCCTTATTCGATGCAACTGAGCTTCACGGCTTGAGTTCCAGCGCGAAGAACTTTCGCGCTGAAGAAGACTTTTATCTCGATGTCTTTCTTAGACATCGATGGTACAACAGCAACCAAATTCGGGACAAGAACTCGCTTTTGGCAGCGTGGAACGCGTTCGTCCAAAACGAAAAGAACTTTGGACAAGAAGGGTGGCTCAAGAAACTTGAGGCGATACGCATCAAGTTCGAAAAGCGAACGCCAACCGGTGCAAGGTACGGGTTGCATCGTTTGTCGAGTTAGGCAGAAATTCCTTGCCTCACCCGGGAAGATCCTTGTGCGAGTTGTGTTGAAAACTCGCAGCGTGCACATAGGGATGTGTGTTACCTATGCTCGCCTTGGGGAAGGGCACACATCTCGGCTGAGATGCGGGACGCGATTGAAAACTTGCAATCCGTCTACAAGCGCCAAAGCGCGTGTACACCGATGAGCCCTCGGACCGATCGGATGAGTCTCGTCATACTGGTGAACAAGAACTTCAACGTCAGCCATCAGCTGGGAACGAGGTTCCCAGCTGTCAAAGGAAGGTGAGTATTCACGCAACCGGACGAGGTAGTGGCTCGTCCTCGATTATGAATTGCCACGGTGGTTCAAGAAACGATCCACAAGAAAGCGTTGACTACCGTGGGAACCCACCAGTGGTTTAGATGGCGGTGGAAAGACAAGGTCCGGCTTAGCCGCCGGGCCTGCACTAGACTTTGGGTAAATACGATCGTTACCTGACCGATCTGAAAGAGGACGTCGATCACGAATATGATCGTCGTCACGCCTTGCAGTCGGACGTGCGACGTCTTCGTGCCGATCGGGAGATAGACCGATCGGAATTCGCGTTCGCTCAGCTTGAGAGTGAACGCGAGAGGCGTCGTTTGCGCGACGAGCTAGAGACAGCTCGTCGCGAGGACGCGTCGATCAAGGATCAACTCCTTTCGACGAAGGACCAACTTCAGTGTTTGGTCCGTGATCACAAGAATCTGTTAGGGATTCTTGAGCTTGCCGGTTATGTCCGCTCTCACAAGAGGCCTCGTACTGGTGGTACGGGCGGAGACGACCAACATCAAACGTAGTATACGTGCGTATCGTGCGAGGCAACTCAATCGTGTATGCATTGCCCTTGCGATGTAACACACGAAAGGGACCAATGTATTTCGGCAGTAGTTTACTACTGCCGACATTAGTGACTACATGTCCAGGTAAGTTTACCGTAGACAGTAGTACTAGGTCGTTAACCTTAAATGAAAGAACATTTGCTTTTAAATTCTTGTCTGCGCTCCGTTTCTGGAGGTCTACAGTGTTTGCGATGGAGTCCTGAACGAAACGGACTACCGCTTCTCGAGTCAGCAGGAAGTTCTCTGCTGACTCTTTGTTTTGTCTTTCAGTGCGCTTCGTGCGCACTGCTAAGAGATTGCTCTCTTCTTCATCGAGGCTGTCTTCTTCCTCGCTGGCATAATCGTTGACGATGCTGAATATACCAGCATCGTCATCATCATCCGAGTCATTAATGGCGTCATCGCTAATATTGAGGTGATTTCCTTCATCGATGTCGACCTGATCGACATCGGCATCATACGTGACGACGTTAGCGTCGACACGTGATGAGCAAGAGCCAAAACGGTTTTTGCTCGAGCGAGTCCCTCCCCCCTTTTCGAAGAGTCACACTCTAGAAGGGTGGGCACACGTGGATGGCGTAGGCCATTCACGTAAAACGGTGTGTGCTGTGTTGAAGCATGCACCGAATTATTGATGGCGGATTCCACCATGGGTAGGAATTCGCTCCAACTCGGAAACGAGTGGACATATCCTCGAAGGATCTCTTCGAGGACACGGTTCGCACGTTCCGTCTGACCATATGTTTCGGGATGGTCAGAAGTGGACATCTTCAATCGTGTTCCCAATGTGCGGAACACGGTTTGCCAAAATGCCGCCGTGAACCGAGGGTCACGGTCGGATAAGAGTTCACGGGGTAACCCGTGGAGTCTAAAGACCTTGTCTAGAAAGACACGAGCACAACCTTGAGCCTTGATCGACTCAGGGACAGCAGCAAGGTGGACCATCTTGCTGAACCGGTCAACAAACACAAGAATACCGTTATTCTTGTGAGCGTCTTCGGGTTTCCCGAAGACGAAGTCCATTGAAACGTACTGCCAGCACTCTGTCGGAACAGGCAGAGGTTGTAGTGGCGCACGGGATGAAGGACTAGGCTTCACCCGTTGACAAACCTCGAAAGCACGTATGTACTTGCGGACAAACTGATACTGGCGTGGCCAGTAAAAGTCACGACTTACCGTGAGGTAAGTCTTTTCTCTACCACGATGGCTGCCTGTTTGGGCATCGTGACACTCATACATGATGCGTAAACGCAAATCATGATGAGCGGGTACGTCGACACGAGGCGTGTCGTCGGCAACAGCTGTATAGTACAGCAATCCGTTGCGTGTACTATATCGATCCGATGAGGATCGGTACAAAGCTGGCAAATCCCTCATTGATTTACTGGATGGATTCACCAGATGATCCATAAATCGCAGAAGATCCTTATCTTCCGCGTATGCCTTTCGTACGTCGTCAAGTAAACTTGACGACGGGACACTGACTGACAGTGTCGCAACAGTGGGCTTATCCTCACTGTTGATTTGTGCGTCCGGCTCGAAATCAGGCCGGCCCGAAAGCGCATCAGCGACGACGTATAGTCGTCCTGGTTTATACTTCACGGAGAAGTTGTACTCCGCAAAGAAAGACAGCAACCTCGCCATCCTTTGCGAGAGGTGTGGACTGTTTACGGCCGTGCGTAATGACGCATGGTCCGTGTAGACAACAAACGGTCTATCTCCCAAGAGATAGACGCGAAAATTAGCCAGTGCGTACTTCGTGGCAAGGAGTTCCTTGTCATGCACTGGGTAATTGCGTTCGGCTGGTTGCAGCTGACGCGACTGATAACAGACGACGCGCTCTGCGCCATCTGCGTCGAACTGCATTAACGCACAACCGATAGCAAAATCGATGGCGTCACAGACCACGTGAAACGCTCTGTCCTGATCTGCAATCGCCAAGATCGGCGATTGCATCAAGCTTTGCTTGATACCCTCAAAGGAACGCTGACACTCAGCGTTCCATGACCAATTGACATTTTTCTTGAGCAAGCAAGAAAGATGAGCAGTCATCTCGGCGTGGTTGCGCGAGTACTTGTGCAAGTACGCCGCTAGCCCAAGGAACTTCCTTAGTCCCTTGACATCGACCGGCACTGGCCAGTCGGTGATCGCCTTGATCTTTTCGGGATCGGGGAGTACGCCGTGTTTACCCACGATGCACCCAAGAAGTGGTATTTCGCTAGCCGCGAATATACACTTCTTGAGGTTGGCGTACAACTTATGC